GGAAAAAGTTTAAGTCCTGGTTTATACTGGGGGGGGGGGGGGGTCAAGCATTTTGCCAGGGGAGGTGCCAGTATATGTCAACCAGAAATGGGCTTTGATGTCAAATCTTCCAGACTCCAGAATCAGTTCTTTATCCGGTATGCTACATTGCCTTCCCTATACAAAACACATTCAAAATAAATATAAGATATTTTATTTTGTGGTGGACAGAGGGTCAGAGAGCATTAACAAATGGAAAGGTGAAGAAAGACCACCTATAGGAGATAGCATCTGATCTGTGCTTGAAGGAAGGTAGGGATTTTGAGGTAGAGGTAAGGAGTGAGCATTCCAGACATGATAGCCTATCTGCAAAAATACAGGTGGAATTTCATATCTGGAGGGAAGCAAGTAGGTAGGTTTAGCTAGAACATAGATAATAATAGCTAATATTATTTAGCATTTATATAGTATGTTAGGTTGACAAAGCTCATTACAAATAAATATCTTATTTAATCATCACAAAAACCCTGCGAGGTAGGTGCTGTTATTATCCCCATTTCACATCGGGTGAAACTGAAGGAGACAGAAATGAAAGTGACTTAGCCAGGGTCACACATAAAAGTAAGTAGCAGGTTAGATTTGAACTCAGGTCTTCCTTACTTCAAGCCCAACCGTAAGTGCAACGTAGCTGCATGGAATATTGAGTATTTGAGGGAGATCAGTATGAGATAGTTTGGAAAGAGATTGGAGCCAGATTACAAAGGGCCTTAAATGCTCAGAGGCATTTGTATTTTTCCTATAGGCAATAGTGAGCCTTTGAAGTTTTTTGAGCCAGGCAGTAACATGACAAAATCTGTGCTTTAGGAACATCAGTTTGACAACTGTATGAAGCCTGTGTAAATTGTAAAAAGAAAGACTACCTCTTGTCTCTGACTGGAACTAAGAAGAAAAGAGTTAGGAAAGATATTGAGGGAATTTGCGGTACAGAACTAAGGAGAAGAAGGAGCCCCTGGCAGACAAATCACCTCCATTTTCTTGATCAAATATGAAATATTGGCCTCTGCTGAGGAGGATGGAGGGGGTAACATAGATGGCTTTCAGAGAAAAGAGGAGATTTGGAACAAATGCTGTGGAGGATGAGGGATTATAAGAAGTAAATTGGAGAAGAGTAAAACTATGGTTATAAAGCAATGAGGGATCCATTGAGATTGGGTGAAATAATTTTGTACTGGACCCAGTTGTCAGGAGCGAATGATTTAATCCTCAAGCACTGTTCAACACTACATGAGTAGGAGTGGAAAAGGCAGAGAGTAGGGACCCGGACTAAGATTTGGGAAAGGATTCTGAATATTTATAAGACAAAGAATTCAGTAGGTCAATAGGTCAGCAGAAAGTTGAATTGGTTATTTATTGCTTAAGAATTTAAAAGGAAGCAAAATAAAACCTGAGCAGGGTTGATGGACTAAGAAGCAGGGGAAGAAGGAAAGGGATGGAGAGGGGATGTGTAGAATGACTCGAGGTTTTGATGAGAATGGACAATAGGTTTAGGAGGGATGAAACAAAGAGAAACAAAAGAACAGAAAGTTATGGTCAGTTGGAAGAATTTCGGTTTTTTATAATAAAAATGGAACACTTAAGAGAACTGATGAGGTCAAAACCATGACTTTTTTTGTGTTTGACTGAGGGAGAATGAAGGTACAGATCACATGGGAGTTGAGGAGGTTGATGAACTTAGAGACCAGTGTGTTTGAGGGGACTTCAACATGCATATTGGGCAGGGGTTGAGGTAGAGAGTGAAAGAGTGTGAGCCAGGTATTGAATGCAGAAAGGAAGGAGTAGATAACTGCTCCTAGAATCTGGATGGAGTGATAAGTCTAGATGGAGGAAAACATGTGTTGGTGATAGTGGCGGGGTCTGGAAGTGGCAGAGAGGGGCAAAGAGTAGGTCCCTTCCTCCTGGGGCACAAGAGAAGTATTCTCTATGGAAGACGGTAGGCAGGGCTGCAGTCTCTTCTAAGAGGAGCCAGTTTTCTATGATTACATGGAGCTGGAAGGAGTTCAAGAGAAAGAAATCTATTAAGACAGGCTGTATCTTAATAATAGAAGGGTGCTCCTCAGAATACAATGGGAGGGGAAGGTACAATGAGATTAGGGACATAGAAAGGAGGCAAAAGGATAAAATTAATGGGAATGAGGGAGCAGGTTGGGAGGTAGGAGAAGGGAATCTTCTTAGCAGTCTTCTACTCAGCACACTGGTGACTGTGCCCTTAATTTATGGAACTATAGATTTACTCACCTCCCCTAGCCAGCATGACAGATTCTCTGCTCCGATGTTGATTGCTTGCATTATCAACTTCCCAGGTAGGAGGGGGAGGATGCCAAATCTCATACATTGCTGCTAGAATTGCTGATTGGTAGAATCTGTTTAGAGAGCATGCTGACAGCACAGTGCAAAAGTTACCCAAAAAGTCATTCTGCTTGACCCAACAGTATTGCCATTGTTAGAAATACTCAAGAAGAGTATTATCCAAAAGAAATGAAGTTTCTATTCAAAAACTTTCATAGCAGTAGCATTATTTGTTAGTGAGAAAAACTGAAAACAACTGGGCACAAATGGAAAATAACAATAAATTTTGATCTCTCACTATAATGGGAGAGTATAATGAGAGTAACATAAATATGAGTTATATAAAGAAATCTAGGAAGACCTATAGGTGGAATAATGTAAATTGAGGAAAACAGAACCAGATCAGAGGATACTGACTCTGATTATGAAGGGGAAAAAAAGTATAAAAATGGACATGAGATGAATGGACCAAAAAAAAAAGCTCAAATGGACATGAGTAGTAACAGATGAATTGCAATGGACACTTCGTGTGTTGAAATTCTTGTAAATAGTTGTAAAGCATGTTTACTTTTTAATGTTTAAAATAGTTGATAAATTATTTCTAAGAACAAGTTTTTGAGAAATAGGGATAAAATTGCTATGTTCCAAAAATATGGTTTAGTTTTCCCTTTTGGATAATGTACCATGGATAAACCATTGGGCCTCTTTTATCTATCTGTGTAAAAGTAGAGCCTCGAATGAGAACAGTGGAGCCAGGAATAGCATCCTTTATGGGACAACAGAAATAATTACTGAAGCATGGCATAGTAGAAATCACAGCTAAATTTGAAATCAAGAGACTTAATTTTGAATACTAACTTAAAGATTTACTAGTTGTGTAACTATATGTAAATAACTATCCTCTCTCAGCCTCAGTTTACTCATCTATAGAATAAAGCCTACGCCACCTACCATAATTGCAGAGTTGTGAGGGAAGCCTGGCACAGCAGGTTTCCCCTAACTTGAGGTCTTTAAAGCAAATCTTTTGTTGGCATTGATTTATCACGGAGAAAACAAAGTACCTACATCAATGTGTGATGGAAGTAGGCAATCTCCTTTTTTTCTTGCACATTAATATTATATCAAGGTTTATTAAAGAATTTGGCACAGTTGACCAGTTCACAGTTGGATAGATAGTCAGTAGAGGGAATATATGTGCTACCAGGGCCCCTTTGGGTACTTACCCTGGAAATTTAAAAGAGAAGACAAAAACCTTGATATTATGCTATTGTCTGCCCTTCCACATATTTTCACAAGAAATTTATGAGAATTTCAAAATATGCTCTATTTCTATATTCAAAATTAGTAAAAGTATTATCATAATAATAGCATACATTTTGTAGTATTTTATAGTTTCTAGTGTATGTTCAAATGAATCATCTAATTTGATTTCATTTATACAAATTATCATTAAAGTATTTGTCATACCTGTTCATCATGGAGAATTTGGGGGCAGACCTATGATTTCATCAGTAAAGTAGGAATTTTGAGATATGGGAACTCCTCCAAACCTGCTTATCATCAACCCCTGTGTAATTATATAGTCTTTCAGCATAGTGTATGGCTCTGAAAGATTAAGTAATGCCAGCAGTCACATATGCATCAGGGGCAGAACTTAAACCCATGTCTTCCTGATTCCAACCTTAAATTTCATGATATTGTTACAAAGATGAAAGTGATTTTTCCTTCATAATTACATGACCTAAATTTTGGTTATTTCACTTTACATTCTGTAGCTGGTTATCTTAAAGCAGGAGGTAGAAGTCACTCAAGAATTTCATTAGATAAAAGATAGTGTAAATTTACTAAGACAAAAAGTCATAATTATTCTTACCTATTATGTGACAAATTGATTTCTTGCTAATGTGGCAATGAGTTCAAATGGTAAGACAGTTTCTGTGATTGCCCTGTCTTTGTTGGCTCTAAATTGTTTTTCTTTTTTATCTCATTTCTACTGTCATTTCTAATGTGTCTGTATCACCATCACCCCATGATAGGACGAGATACATATGTTCTGTAGAATAAGACATGATACAGTTATAGCATATTAGTTCATGCTAATGATATTTTGGAAAGACCCATGTAAAGCTTCAGTGTGCATGCAAAGCAAAAACAAAAGGGGGTGGATGGAGTATCTCTTTGAACACTTGCAAAGATTTCTTTGCACATTAGCATTAAAATACTGTAATACATTAAATGCAGAATCTGCAATAACATTTCCTTTTCATGGCAGAAGAGAACAAATGGTGAATACACCCTTGGTGGGAGCATACAGAAAGAGAAGAGTAGTTTCTGTTCCACATCTGTATCTTTGAAGTGTGAAAGTCAAGAATGTTTTCTCATAACCTTGGGAAAATCTGCTGGGGTTCTCAGGACAATGTATCTCAGGACTATATATCTGACTGTAATTAGAGAATGTTCACAGTAGTTCCCTTATGTGAGGGGGCTTATCATCCACTAGGAGTGGGGTAGGGGTGGAGGGAGGAGGAAAAATACTTTTTTTTTAAAGTGAAATCTATTCATTAGTTAACTATAAAGCAAAAAATTGAACTTGAACAAACCTATCAAAATTTCTCTGGTCAGCCTTTTATTACTATCTTGTCTTGAGCCCTTTTTTTAATGACATCTATTATCAGATTGAAATGGCGATTGAGACGCTGCAAAAGTCTGACGGTCTGTCCACTCACAGAAGCTCTCTTCTCAACAGCCATGTAAGTTGCCTCCTCTTCATGTAAACTAATCTCTTTGCTTGTTCTGCATGTTTAGCTTGCCTCTAAATGCTTGTTTTATTTATTTTGCTTCTTAACCTTCCTTTCTCAGTCACTTACAATCTTTACATCATTCTTGGCTTAGCAAAGTATCTCAAAAGTAGAGGCCTTGGGGTCTCTTAATTAGGCTTTGATGAAATTTTTTGGATAAGAACTTTAACACATTTTAAATTTAGCAACTTTATGCTTATTTGTAAAACTAGCTAGTAGGGAATTTGAAAATCTTTTGTTTGATTTTGATTTTCCAAGGAGATAACATATAAACCTGCATTGATTTGTGGTGTAAGTAGACAATCTACTTTCTACTTGCATATATAAGTAATGATTCATTTTTTTTAAAGCAACTTAATTTTTTTAAAGCCAACAAAATATTTTTAAATGGCATAGAGATACAAGTAAGTTGCTGTCAGGTATCTGTGCACATTTGTGCAGCCTTGAAGGTCCAGGGCCTGTAAAGAATTGAAACTAGTCCCAAAAAAGAGGAAAGAAAGAAGGAAGGAAGATAAAAGAGAGAAGAAAGGAAATAAAGAAGAGTATGAGAATGCCATATTTTGAATTGAAGCTGAGAAAACAGAATGAGAACTATATTTTTTTCAGGTCATTAGTGTTCATTGTTATCAGCTACAACCTAACTGTACCCCTGGTAAGTGTGGAAAGGACTGAGACAAATTTTATGCATTAGTAAGCTAATAATTTTATATGAAATTTTATTAACTTATACTCAGATTTTTGTAATCTTTCATATACAGTGCTTTAAAATGTTTTAGAAGGTGTTTTCTGAATAGATTAAATAACTTTCTTAACATGGATAGAAAAGTTTATTTTAAATGGACATTCTGTTAAATTTATAGCAATAAATTTCAGGTTAGTTCTCCCCTTTGATTATGTAATACAAATATCCTAAATTGAGGAATAAAGTTATTTAGGATATTTAAGTGATTCCCTTTTTGTTCCTTTCCCTAATCTTCAACTAAAAAACCCTATATTGTAGTAGAGGAAAGGAAAGGAAAGAAAACATTAAAATTTCTTTATGTGGATTTGATCATTTGAATAACCTAATTTAGTATAGTTTCATTTTATGAAAGTTATAACTTTCCTTTATATGCAGAGGTTATAGTGGGTGGTATGGGAATATCCATTAAGGTGAAATTGAGGTTCCTTCTATGAACTGGGTGAAGGTAAAAGAAAAAATAATTCTGGAAGTTTTTAGTTAATGTTCCAAAACTATAGTAATTCTTTTTATTTGTTCTGATGTGTTTTTGTTTAGATGAGAAAGTTTTAAGTTGTCTTAAGGTGAATGGGGCAAAGGTTCATAATAAACAGGTTAGGAGGTGTGGATAATGACTGTAATTTATTTGGTGAAAGAGTGACACAAACATGGCGGAAAAATGATAGTATGTATTCCGTGGCTCCTCTCTTTTTGATGTCATCCTAAGATGCTGGTAATATATGTATAGTATTCCTTTGTGGGGATTTAAATGAAAAATCTTCTTTTATATACCACAATTGTTCTTCTTGTATTTTTGTTGAAATTTGTACCTCTATATTGTTATGTTAAGGGTAATTTGCAGGATGCTGTTAGCAGAGAGGAAGATAAGCATATGCATAAGTTTGTGCTTTGACCCTGTGACATAAAATTTGTGAGGTTTTCATTGTCCTTGTGAAAAAAAATGTACAGGAACATGAGAATCAATCAAAATTCTCTGTTAACTTTTAACTCTGCAAATGTTAAGGCTCTTTGTCCCACAGTAAAATTCCATTCAGATTTTATTTTTCCTTAATGAATTTGTATATGTGACACTACATATGTTTAAATTTGAATTCCATTTTATTACCTTTTTTCATTTGAGAGTTTTAATAAACAATAATGTAGGTATGAGAGCATATTTGTGTGTTTTTTAACTGTTGGTTTGTTTAAATTTTTCAAATATGTTGTTTTTGAAATTTTCTCTTGTAGACTGCATGAAGAAATAATTAATGTTAATGAAGGTGTGAATGAAGCAGCATAAACAGCAGACAAATGTTTCTCACTCTGTGTCTTCAGATTGTTTATTACCTAGTATGGAAAAAATCATTCATGCTATTTTTCAGTGCCAGAGGCTTTCTTAGCATATGGAAACAATGGTTATAAATAATTGCAAATGCATTGATAATTTTTTCTCTCCGAAGTCATACCTATGATATCCTCAAATTCCTTAAGTTTACTCATAACTATACCTAAAGTAGAGTTCTTCAGAAACATAGCTGATTTGCCAGATGGATTTAGTGTAACAGCATAGCCAGATACTGTTTATTACTTACATATATAACCATGCTCACAGACAAGTACCCTACTAGAAGCACCTCTATTAAATTAGTGATCTTCAGAATGTTCCCAATCTTGTAAGAATAAAACCTTTTTTTGCCCCTTGGAGATTAATGATAATTCTGATTTTAAATATGTTTAAGAAATATGAATTGGTCCTTTGTATAAATTCTAAGTGACATCAAACTGCTTAAGGTATTATAGACTTTGTAAACCTAATTGGTTTTCAATTGAGTGGAAAATTTCTAGTGAAAAGATTTTGAAAACCATTAACTTTTTGAAGTTCAGTAAATCAACTTCCTGCTATTCTTTATTACATGTAGAAAGACACGTAGCATAAATTTAGGTTTACTAAATTCATAAAGTAGGTGATGAACTCAGTTTTTTGGATTACAGATTTTGACTTAGGGAAACTTCTATCTAACAAGGTATTAGTTCCCTGAATTGATTAATTTCCATAGAAAGGTATCCTTCCTGCCATCTCATCTATGGCTTCAGGGACAGAAAGCCAGTTATAGGATCATTGGGATAAAGCTGGAAGGAACCTTGGAAATCGTGTGTTCTAATTCGCTGATTTTCTTCATGGGAAGCTGAGGCCCAGTAAAAAGAGCACTGACTCTGGAGAGAGGAACCAGGTTTAAATCCAACCTCTAGGGATGTCTACATGTGTGCCCTTGGACACAAGTTGTTTATTCTCCCTTCATCGTGAAAAATTCTATAAATTCTATAAAATAAGGGGATTGGCTAGATGTTCTCTCAGGTTCCTTCCAAGTCTAGATCTATGACCCTATGATTTCAGTGACGTGGCCGAGGTCACACCGTTAAGAAATAACCAAGCCTCAGTTCAAACCCAGATATTCTTGAGTTCAAATCTAGTTCTCTTTTCCATGCTATTGCTCCCCAGGCTACTTTCCATATAGGAACAAGAGGTTATTTCTCTGTAAATAAAATAGATGGTAGGATATAAAGTTATAAGTTACCTTAGAGATGAACTACCCATCTTCATGTCATAAGAACCAAAGCTTATGAAAGTATAATTCCACCTAGTGAAGTTCATTTAACAGTTTTCAAATTTTTCTCTAGAAACTTTCCATTCAGCTGAAAACTAAATTCACAAAAGTTTCTAAGATACCTTCAGCACTTAGAAATCAACTAGAACTTGTGCAAAGGACCAGCTAGATGTCTTAAAAGAAACTCAGGGATAAGGACTTGAATCCTGAGTTTGATAACATTCTTAGTTTGTAGGACCATTGCCTTGTATCTATTGTTTGCCCCTTTTCTCTATGACTTTAATTATTTGTGTAGCTACTCCCTCACCTGGTGCAGATCCCACCCTTCCCTACATCTTCTCATTCCAGGTAGCCATTCCTCTGGTTATTCTAATATGTGGTGGATATCAATCCATCACTCAGGTTGTCCAACTCTTATCACTCACACTTGAGACATCATGACCAGCCCACCTCCTTTTGAAGATTAAACTTAATTTCACAGAAACCCATGAAATTACACTTTTTAATTAAACATATTGCCACATTTTGATTCATCTTTATGTGTTTATCTCTCTATTAAAATAGGGATAAATTTGATTTTGAAATTTTTATTTAATATGCTGCCGACTGTATTTGTGTAACCTTTGAATCAAACTCTAAGGAATGTCGCAACAGTTATTAATCAGCACATTGTCATCTGAATACCAAATACCAAATCATAGTTTTCCACCCTGAATTATAGAAGCAACCAATTATAAAGTAACCTACCTTAAAGTCGTTTTAAAAAAAAATTATAATATGTTGTGATTATGTGAAGATGTTATGACTTCATTTTTTTTTTGCTATTTGAAGGTAATTTTAAAGAAAAAGCATAACTCTAAATCAGCACCATAATAAAGTACTTGAATACTTAAATTTTTTTTATTTAATAAGCAAAATGTGCACCATATGTGTTAATGGAAAGAATAGTGATTCAAATACAGACAGTCCCCAATTTAAGAACAGAATGTGTTCCAAAATTTTGTGAATTGGTTGTTTGGATATAGAACACATTTCACCATCTAAACAATGCTGTAAATAGTCGTTTAGGTTCCTAAGCGTAGTCCTATATTGCAGATGATCATTTAATATGCAGTGTGGTGAAACTACAGAATCAGAACCAAATTATCAATATCCCCTTACAACAGTTTCACTGTGGTAAGTAGTATGGACTATGTTACAACAACAAATGAATCTCTCTTGATCATAACTCTACCAACAAGAAAGGATTTCTGCCCTCTATTCCATACTAACTCTAGTAATGAGAATAATTACATTGATGAGCCTTAATCTTGGATTCCAGCAACCGGAAGTGGGAATACACAAGTTAGGGCAGCTCCATCAGAGATTTCCTTCAGTGGAGGGAAGCACCAATAAGGCTGTGTCAGCTAAAGCCTAAGGACCTCTTTTCAGAATAATGTTTTTAATTGCATAAAATATGTAGGATTACAAAAGAAACCAAAGGTTAGTGAAAATAAGGATGTAATTTTTGTGCCGTCCAAGTTGACAGACCCTCTGAAATCTATCTACAAACATATTGGGCATCTTTGGTTTCTAGGTTAAAAATCCCTGTTATAGAGAGAAGAGCTCTGATTAACAAAGGGGGGTGG